CCCCCTCCACTTCCCCAACTGTTTACAGCACTCTATTTTCTCGTACTTTTATTCGATCGTTGAACGCACGGATAGAATCGCGACTGAACTGGACGACAGCGCAAAACGGGAGACCTGAAGGGGTAGGGGGTGGGCGCTTGGCTCGCTTTGGTACGGCACCTTCACAGTCCCCGCCCCCACCCCCACGTGCTTTCGCGCTCTCTTTTTCCTCCGAGTGGGTTGCAAAATAGAGAGGCTGTGGACACTCTACTCTACCCCCGGGAGGGAGGGAAGGAAGGTATCCAACAAAGGTATGTAGGATGCTAACTCGGAAACTTTACGACCATCAATGCTTCCGCGTTTCAGTGACTTTTGTCGCGTGTCGAAAGTTGCAAATGACGAACACAAAGATTTTATTGTGCTCAGGAAAATAAACATTCAACAGATTTGACGACAGTGATTTTCGAGCATCTTGAAGAGTTACATCGACATCAAAGGATGTAATGAATTGAACTAAATTTCATCATCTATCACTGATCATGCGTTTTGAGGAAAGGTGAAACAATTTCAACAGATTTATCGTGTGAAATCAAGCGTGCGATTTTAATACAAGAAAGAGTTGTCGTAAACAGTAACACAGAATTAACAAAAGAAATTGCGGTTAATTGACGACGGAAAAATTGGAAAAAATAAACATTTCGCGCTATCCATCCTTTTTTTCGGAGAGCGTCCTTGATACATTATCGTAATGTTCATGGTCTTTTTTACACTACATTACCTCTGTTTATTTAAATATCGGACAGAAATTTGGCCGAAATTTGATATTGATATTTTTATCTAAATCCCATTGCGTAACCGTCTCTACCTGTATTTGTAAAACCCTTTGATCTCAAGTGGAGCAACTTCAGAATACTCGGCCACTTTATTTCCATGTGCCGGTGTGCTTGTTTATCATGCAAGCTAAGAGTCTTGTTGCCCCAGCTTTTCATTAATCGAGGTAGATTGCCCAATATTTTCAAGTGGTTCCGCTCAGAAGTAAACATGTGGTTGTTGAATAAGAATAGCAACTATTGTTATATACCTCGTTCTTCAAAGCACACCGGCACATGTAAATAAAGAGGCCGGGTATTCTGAAGTTGCTCCCATTTGGGAATGCCCTTCCAGTGCAGGCATGTTATTAATCTGTATTAAGACATCGCTATTCTCAGCGTCCCAAGCCGCCGGCCTCCCCGCCGATATCGAAAGCTGGGCGAAAGCTTTTGAAATGGCATCAAATGGATAACTGACCTGCAGTCCCACGGAACATACCACAGATCGCTAAGAGCAAAATCAACAGCATCTTATGGCCGATTTCTCTCTCACTTGGCACGACGCACAGAAAGTCTACTCTTGTGCGGAACAGATATTCGAAGATATCTTACCACAGCATGTCACGCTCTCCTTAGAACGGTACATAGTCACGCAAGACCAATCTCCTACCCAGGGTCCTCTGGGTCCTCGGCCAGTTGCCTAAAGAGGGGCCTAGAGATAGGCCATAACCAGATAAGCGAAATCGTGTTTTGTTAATCTGGATGAATGATGCTCCATCCCAGCCTTAACACTGGCATTTTACCAGCTGAATTTTGAATGCTCTCTTCTTAGTCTGACTCAACAAAGCTATGTAACACAAGTCATGATCAGTAATATCTGTTGATTTATAGTAGTCACACCTTTCCTTCCTCCCTTTCTCTCTCCCTGCCTCACTCACCCCCCCCCCATTTCAGATGAATTCCTCCCCCCCCCCCCAGAATGGTCCACTGGGCACAAATATTAACTGCAGTAGAGAGGTTTCTACAACAGTTAAAGGCATGGATGCATCCATTTGATGTGACTGGTCTGGACTGAAGGCTCAATTTCCATCACTTTCTCCAATGTAGCCTGCATCACAGGTAGCATCTTCAACAAAGACTACCTCAAGTCCAGTTTATATTTCTATCCTGGACAGCAGCTGGTAGACTGAATGCCTTGTTCAAGATCAACAGGAAATATAATTATATTGTTCAGTCAGCAACAAAAGTTCTGGAAAGAGGAAGTTAGGGGATCTGAACTTCCCACTTTCCACACTTTTTATTCCCAGTTTGCATTGTGAAAACCCAATTTATTGTTATAATTTTAAAACTTATTGTACCAGTAACATAAAGATTTTAATTGCATGCACACAATATTGCAATTGGAAGCTGAAGAAAACTAAAACCTTCTTGGACAAATGGTCATTCATTTGGGACAGGGGGTCTTAACAGGTATTTTAAAATCCCTTGATCTCTCCAGAGTCAAAATTACAAACTTGGTGAGCTTGGTTAGCTCTGCTTAACTGGATCAAATTAACTCTAGCCTAAACTAAGAAAATCAATTCACAATTATAATCTCTCAACCAAAAACTGAAATAAATTTGGTACGCTACATGCATGGGTACTTATTGAAAGATGAGAGCATTATAGGGGTGTTTATAAAATAAGAATTGTGGAAGGCACTGTAGCCTCATGGATAGCGTGCATGACTCTGGATCAACCAGTGGCAGGTTTAAGCCCTTGAGCCAACTTACTATCCCAGAGTGGCTAGCCTAAAAACATTGATATCTGGGAGATAATTTGCCCACTTTTTGTCCCTTCCCAAACCCCCAAAATAGGGATATGCCAATTGAACCTTTCCAAAAATTTTGCCAAAAATCTCTCCAAACTGAGAGTAAAAATGTGTACTTTAAGCAGT